GTTGTTTGGTTTGTTGAAAGAAAAAGCAAACAAACTCTCTGTAAATATCCTAATAACTAGTTCAGTATTTTGCTTGATAAGCGTCATTGGCATAATACTCTAATCTTTTTAATCATCAGCTACACAAGACAACAAAGGAATGTTTCAATGTTCTTTAAAATTCCTAATAAGCTTGGAGGGATGTCTGTGCTTCCATTTCCATCAGCTTCAACTTCATCTCACTGTAGGCTGATGTATGTTTTAATTAATTTGTGATACCAACAGCTTAGGCATTTTGTAAACAACATCTATGTCTTAAATGCTAGAAAGTGAGTCACATAAATAAGTATTTTGTCTCCATCTTCTCATTTAAAATGTGCAATTGCTAAAAACTTCTATTTAAGAATATCTTGGCGGGGGGGGTGGCACCTGGGTGGCTCAGTCAGTTGAGTATCTGTCTTCAGCTCAAGTCATGATCTTGGGGTCCTGAGGTCCAGCCCTGCCTCAGGCTCTCTGCTCAGTAGGGAGTCTGCTTCTCCCTCTCCCTCTGCTCCTTTCCCCACTCACTCACACATGCTCGCGGCTCGCTCTCTGATAAATAAATAAAATCTTTTTTAAAAAAAGAATATCTTTTTTTTAAATGATACTGCAATATTTTAGCCTAATCTTTTCACTAAATACAAGGACAAACCATACCACTGCGGGAGTCTTTTCCCCATATTTAATTATTAACCTACCTGACTTCAGATGAAGTCTTAAAGTCCTCTTTGTAAAATAAATGGACTTCATAAACTCTACAGAACTTTTTCTGTGTTCCCTGTTCAAGTTCTTTATTTTAATAACAGGCTTCTGTGTAATTAATCCCTTGGAGCTTGCCGTCACATAATCTAACCTGTGTATGAACTGTTCCATGTGTATTTTTCTGGTAACAAGACCTCTGGAAAAAATAAACAAATAAACAAAGACCAAAAAGAAAATCATGCACAAGGGCACAAATTGTGTGAAATACACCCCATCTCATACACTTATAAACCAGGCAACAAGGATAGAAATTCTCAATCCATCTTATCAGAGATCTGGGGAAAAGGGGTTTCACTCTAAAGAATTTTTTCCCTGTGACAGGAAACTGTAATATTTCCTTATTTGAGAGCTAAGGCAATAAGGAATCTTAAATAAATGGTTCCTAACTACTGCTATTCAAGCAGAGCTGTGTTGTTTTTTTTCTTAATTGAATTGTCTCCCACACTTTTTGCCCAGTCACAGAAGTTAAGAATTTAGCTGAGAAAAATTCCTGTGAACCGAAATTTGAACAATAAAGCTAGGATTTTATTATTTCTCATAAAGTCATTTCACACATGTTAAGCAGTGCCCAGTCAAAGGAAAACTACTATACATTTATTATTTGAAAACATTTTTTAAACTTGCAAAATTCTCATTTCAAAATAGAGAAAAATGCAATTTTTGCAGAGTGAATGGGGACCACACTCATTCCATAAAAAAAAGGATTTCCTGTAAAAACAGAAATTGGCAATTTAGTCTAAGAAAACACAGCGAAAGCTGGGAAGAAACTTGAGGATGCTTAAATTTCCACTGTGGAACAACTTCTGCTGCCCAGTGGGAAGGGAAAAAAAAAACACCTGCAACAGGATGGGAGGAGAAGAAGACAAGCTAGGACTACACTCCCGGAGAGGAAAAAACGAGGCAGGTCCCTAGTCTATGAAGCAGGGGCGCTAACAGGAAAGGAATATATATATCCCAAGAAGAATACCAAGGCAAACTCTGCAGTTAGTCACCTGTCACATCAGAGAAAGACGAGAAGGCAGTATTTGTGGAAGAGACGAGACCAGTGCACGGGGAAATATTAGTGAGGTGCTGAAAGCTGCTGCCACCAACTGGGCATCAGGCAGACTTGGGGTTACAAATCACTCTCACGTCATTAAACCGTGCATTTCCATCAAAATGGTAAACAGGTTTTACTGTAGTCAAAGAGGTTAGTTTTGAAGCTGGTAATATTTTAACTAGCAAAAATAGAAATTTTAAGCAATAACTGGAAAAATGTTACACACAACTGCTTTTCCTGATGATTTATACAGCAGGGCACGGTTAAAAGACTTATTCATGTGACACTGTAATAGCAATAAGCAGAGAGAATACCTTTTAAATGCTATTCAAATTCAAAATCAGAATTGGTACTTGTTTAAAATCTATGGGAAAACCTTTTATGCAGAGATTCTACTTTTATTAATTTGTGCCACATATAAATTTGCGCATGTACACACACAGGCGGGTAGAATTTGGGAGTACCAAAAAAAAAAATTAATATATCGAGAGAGCCATCATTAGGGAACTATTCTAGCCACGTTATGGGATCCTATACACAAGAGAATGCACAAGGTACATCCATATGAATTAACAGATGGATGCACGAAAGATATACAGAAGTGAGCAAGGTTTAGAACAGCATGTACAGTATATTGTATGTATTAAATAGGAACACACTATACCTATACATACACATGTATATATTATGTATATATATTTGCACATGCATATGCTTATAATAGATCTACAAAAATATACACGAAAATGGTGTCTGAGAGATAAGAGAGAAATTTTTTTAATTGCATGTCCTTTTAAATTATTATTTTTACCTCCCCAAATATACATATGTATATGTATATATATAACCTTATATGAGAAATATAAAAATAAAAATGTAAATTATAAGGATTCATTAAATTTTTATATATATGTAAAATCTTACAGATAATGTGAGAGTGAGGCATACTCATAATTACTGTTCTACTAATAACACCTTTTTAGGAAGGCTTTATTAATAGTTTGCAATAGCATAACGTCTATGTTAGTGACCAAAAACTATGAGGAACACTGCGAGGTGTTTCCCTATAATCATTAAAAAAGTAAAACCCAAGAGAAATAAGTGCTAGTGTGAGTAAAACGAGGGACATTCTCTTAAGCAACAAAGTAAAGCTTAGTTTCTGTTTTCACATTGAGTTGGTGCCTCCAAAGAAAACAACACTGGTTGGTGATAGCACATAGAGATGAGACAAATGTCTGGAGGGGCCTAACATCTCCCTGCAGACTTTCATTCCCAAAATTAAACCCCCTTCCTCTCTTTCTATAGTAGCAATGCCATCAAGCTTAGCTATTAAGATAATATATATAACAGAAATACATATTTTTTAAGGAAAAATGTTAGACTAACTCAGGTCCTTTGAAGAACATATGAAAATCAGAGTTTCAGTTCATCTGTTGAACTTGCTTGCATGGGCCTTGCACACAGCAATGAATGTCTGCTGCCTGATCAGAATCAGGCTTAACATGATAAGCAAATTTCCTTTCCAACACTGTTGGAGTCCTGGATTTATTTTCCACAAAGGCCAAGATGGAACTAAATTAATCATAACTATTTCCTGGGGCCAGAAAATCATGCATATTTTACCACAGCCCAAGCGCTTGGCCCTGACCATCACCTTGTCCCTCCCCTGGTCTAGACCAAGACTCAAAAACTGGTCCATTCAGTTTACTGCACTTTTTCTTCCTGTACCTGGGACATACAAACACAAATTTTACTCCATATATATAGTTAAAACAGCCCATAACAAAAAGGAATAAAGGAAATGTTCAGCCACAAAATCGGACTGGACACCATCACCTGGTGTCTCAAGATCATATAATCAAGCTACAGAACTACTCAAAAAGGAGCAACAATGAGAATGAAAAGAACGTAATAGAAAATGTCTGTGTACGCATACTGTCTGGGCTCATTTAACAGACTCCTCCAAGGAGATAAAATGGATCATTTTAGTAAGCTTCTATGGAGACTTGAATTTAAACAATCTTACAAAGACAGATTTTTCTTTTAATCTGAACAATTTTAAGGAAAATGTATTCCCACCCTTCTTCAATTCAGGGAACTGACAGTCCTTATACAGTCAACCTGCCTAATTTAAATATTTCCTGCTGAAACATGTCCTGTAATAGGGACTTAGGAAGCCAGTGAAATGCTCAATTGCATGTACATAACACATAAACCACTGGTTAAAAACACCACTTTAAGGCCGGCCACAGAAGCATTACTGCCCCAATGAAATGAAGAGCCCCTTACAATCTGAAAGAACCCAAGTTCTCCAAAAATTTGCCCTGCTCTGCCTCCAGGGTAGACATCGGAAAGGCACTATCAACCCGAAAACTCAGTCCCTAATTTTAGTAAGCATAACTCAGAGGAGAGCCAACCCTTGACAGTGTCTTCCCTGACCCTGTCATTAGAATTCCTTTCTTTCCTTGCCCCCTTACCAAGAGAGCATCTGCAAAGGTGCCCACAAGGCAAGCACTTTCCCCTGAACACAACCGGAATTGGTAAGAAGGGAAAGGAACGGGCTTCTCTCCGTCTCTCAGTCGCAGCTCCTCCCCTTCTTCCTCAAAGAATCCTTCTCGCCTCCAAAAATCGGCCGCGACAATGGCCCAAGATTCCTTTTAACCATGACATCGCCTCTAAAGCAGAAATCTTTAAAGAGCAGAAGCAAAGTGGTTTAGCCTCGAACGGGGCGAGGGCTGGACACCCCCTGCACTTCTAAGGTGCCCCCAGGAGATCTTGTCAAGGATCCTTCTGGTGTGGAGAATCGACCCTGTCAGTTCCCTCCGGATCTTGATACTCGGGAGAAGAAGGAGGGGAGACCCACACCAAAGGAGCTGGCCCGTTCCATTACCCTTTAAGAGCGTCGTGTCCGCCGCCGCCTCTTCTCTTGGCCCGGCTGGCTCTGGTTTCCTTCACGTTCCCAGCCTCCAAATTGGCGTCCGCCCCATGGCTCGTGTAGGACGCTAAGAGCACGATAAATCCCAGGACGACCTCCAGCAGCCCTCCTCGCCGCATGATGCCGAGCGGCCGCCGGCTCCCACCGCCTCTCGCCGCGCCCCGGGCTCGATCCGCGGCCGCCGCTGCGCCCTGAAGCGCGCCGCGCCGCCGGGGTCCCGCTCTCCCGCCGCCCGTCCCCCGGGCCGGGCTCCTCCCGCCTTCTCCAGGCGCTGCTCCCACTTCAGGCGGCCCCTGCCAGCTGCAACAGACAAATCGCCGAGGCGGGGGAGACGTTCAGGGCACCGGGATGCTGAAGCCTTGGGGTCCCCATTCCCGAGCCCAGCCCGAGCGCCGCCTGAGCGTGGCGCAGTTACTTTGGGTAAGTGAAGACCGTTTGGTCCACAGCTGGCTGAAAAGCGCAGGCCCCCGCCGGCCGCGGCTCCAGCCAACCTCTCGGCCTCCCGGACGCCGCCTGAAAAGCGCGTCGCAGAGTACCCATGTCCCGAGCGGTTCTAAACCCCGTGGCCAGTTCGCTGGGTTTATTTATTTTTTTAATGGCACAAAATGCGCGCGATGCGCGCTTGAACGCCCCAGCTTCCCTGACTGTCCTCTCCGCCAAGCCGCGGGGCTGGAAGCCCGCCGCGCCGTCCCGGGCCGGCTCCGGGCGCTGCCACCGCCCGCCGAGCATCTGACGCGGAGCCCGACACCGGGAGCCCCGGGCCAGGAAGCTGTCAGGCAGGGGAGGGCCAGCGCCAGCTGTGGACGTTCCGGGACAGCCCCTCACCCAGTCCCTGTCCCTGCCCTCAGCGCGGCGCAAACGCAAAAGCCTCCGTGGCTGCAGCTCCAGCCCCGGTGGCCGCCCGACCCCTGTCGGGACCCTGGCTGCACCCACTGGAGAAGCGGTGGCTCCGGCTCCCGAGGTGGCGGCGGCTGTTCCTCGGTCCTGGCCGCGGCAGCCGCTGCCCCGCTCCGCCCGCAGCTGTCCCAGCTGTGGCCGCCCGTCCGCCTGTGGCACCCACAGTCTCTGCCGCTGCTCCCGCGGCCCCCTCCTTTCCCCACCTCTTCAAGTATCGTCTGCGCAGCGGTTTCTCGCGAGAGAAATACTTTTTTAAAAAAAAGAAAGAAAAAGAAAATGACACCCCCTCCTACATCCCCCTCATCGCCACCCCACCCCTCGGCCCCATCCATCCTCCCTTTCCACTCCCCTTTGCCAGCCACCGCCTCGGCGCGGGGGCCTCCCTAGCTCGCAGGATTAGCGCAGCTGGGAGGAGGCGGAGGTGATCAGGTTCTGCCCGGCCTGGGATTTTTTCGTTTTGGGGTGAGGAGCTGGGGGAATGGGAAGAAGTGGAGTAGTGGGTTAGCTCTCTCTGCCGCTGGGAGGTCTAGACCCGAGATTAGCCTCTCCCGTGATCTGGGAAGCCCGGCGGGCGCGGAAAGCTGTGCCACCTGCACCAAGAACGCACGTTGGAGACGGCGGCCCCGGAGGCCCCGGCGACCCCGGCGCGAGGGGAGACGCGTCCTCGCTGCCCGCGCCTCCCCGGCGCCGCCTCCCTGCGCCTCTCCGGCCCGGCACCCAGCGGGGACCGGAGTCCCGGAGGCTGGGGCAGGGCGCGTCGCGGGTCATGGCACCGGTAGCTACAGGGGCTGGTGTGCGGGGGTGGAAGGGGTCTCCGCCGCTGCCACTTGCCCCCTGGGTGTCGAGTGCCCACTCAGGGCACTGCTCTTCGAGGCTCAGGTCAAGCCACCCAGGCTGATCCAAGATGCTGCAAGTGCCTGAGTAGGATCCCTCTGATTCACAGGCCTGTGAATGTTGGAATTGGAGATCTGGTATGGGGGTGGTGAAGGGATGGTCCTCCTGCCCAGCCTACAGCTAACTAAGATTGGGCTTCTCCTAGACAATCCTAGTTCACCTCCCCAAACACACACACACACACACACACACACGCACAGCCTCTCCAGGACAAGCAAGGCACAGTGTCTTTGGAGAATACATTATTTATGGCATCCTTATATGGATAAGGCTCAGTGTTGCCTATACTCTGTAAAGGCTTGGAAGGGCAGGAAATCGCACCCTGGGCCCTGGCCGCTGGAACTGGAGACCCCAGAAAATCCCCGTGTGGCAGCCACAGTCGTCAAACCAGAAGTAAGAGCTCAGCACAAAAAGGAATCCTGTTGAAGGGGGCTTTCCTTATTTGCAATTGTTTGTGCCTAGATAATAGGGTATAGGGACCTGGGCAAGTTATTTAACCTCTTTCCGATTGCCAGATGGAAATAATAATGTTGACCACACAGAGTTATCAGAGCGATGATGAGCCTGCTGAACAATGACAAGTGAACTTGGAAGATGAAAACAGTGAAACTGTCAAAAATATAAGCCCATTTAAAGTCATAGTTCTAGAAGTATGTAGTGCTTAAGGTCTCACCTGTAAAACTTCTCTTAGCAGATTTATGAATTAGAGGCTTGGTCACACACTCTTGGCTGACATTCATCCAAGACGTAAATTTACTGAGCACCACCTATGTACCAATTGGTGCATGACTGAACCTGGCTCTGTGGTGAGCAAGGCAGAAATGTGTTTTCCTTCACACAGCAGATAGTCTACAGGGAAACTTAACTTGAAAAAATAATGATCCAATTGTTAAATGCCAAGAGGAAGAAATACTGGATGCTTGCTTGAAGGATATATAACAGGGGGACTTGACCTAAGCTGGGACTGATCAGGGAAGGCTTTCCTGAGGAAGTGTATTTAACTTATGTCCAAACACTTACCTAGACTTTACATATGGTAGTGGCTCTCAACCCTGGCTATACAGAATGACCTGGGACCTTAAAAAAAAACAAAACAAAACTGACAGCACGAACCAGCCCCCAGAGTTCTGATTGAAATAGCCTTGACTGGAACCTTGATGTGGGCATTTTTTTTTTTTTTAAAGCTTCCCAGGTACAGAAAGGTAAGGGAGTTGTTTGGACCGGGAAGAGGATCTAAGCAGAGGAATCATGGCTCAGGAGAAGCATGGCTGTTGGAGATCCAGGAAGCTCCCACAGTATTCTGGACTGTTCTTCACCCTCTGAGGAATCTGGAAACTCTGCCCACTTTCCCTACACTCCAGCAGCATGTGAGACACTGTAATCTCTCTTAGAATCTTCCACTCGGTGACATGATGCACAGCAGCAGCTGAACACAGGCTTTTCTAAGGCTTTTGCCCACAAAACAAAGAGCAAACCTGGGTGCCCTGCAAGCCCCCTTCCAAGATTTCTGAACAATTCTATTAGGTACTCCTAACTCAACTCCAAACTGCCTTCCCAGGTTTTACCTCTAAGGGAGAGATTTAGATTAAAGTTTGCTTCTGGCCTGTGCCCTTTTTTCCCTCCTCTTTTCCCCTTGGCTCCCTCCTTCAGTAGAGCAGAGACTTTCTACTTCCTCTTCATATTGGTTGGGAGCTCTACACCCCACAAACCGCCCTTTTTGGGCAATAAGTCTCATGGCTTAACCAAAAGGGGGTAAGAGAAAAAAAAACAACCCTGTTCCCTAGAAGACAAATGCCACTTTTAAATATGTAAGAAATATTCCCATTATCTAGGCAATCTACATATATTAGAGCAGCATGTTACCAGTAACAAAATTTGGTTAACAAATACAGAAAATTATGTCTTTGCAAAAAGATTTTCTTGATGCCAGTTGATCCAGGAACCACTCTCTTTTAAACTCATCACAGTTTATAACACTGTTTGTAAAATAAGTCCAGGCTAGAATTCCCTTGTTTCTCCTCTGCATTTCAAAGGATTCTCACCCACTGTAAGAGAATCCGCTCAAATTCCTGTTGTTCATGAGGAATTTTTGCTCAAGATGTCTCTCTTGTTCGAACTTCCTTGCACCTAATTGAATCATTCACTTAATAATGTATTAATTGTAATACATAATTATAGTATGTGTGTCAAGCACTATGTCAGGCACTGACAATGAGAATATTTACATATTGTTTGGGTGAACTATAATTTTCTGTAATTATTATATTGATTCTCCCTAGCTGGATTACAGACCCTTAAGGACAAGGCTGTATTCCTTATTCAAGGAAATTTGTACAGTGTCCTGAAAACTGTTACAAAAGATAACTACTTTGTTGGCTGCTGTTTGATCATTTAGTATTCTGGCTTCCAGACCACTCTCATTACTCTATATCTACTGAATAAATATCTGTGTCAGCAATCTTGGTCTACAAGAAAACTAACTCTAGATAATTTAAACAAACAAATAAAATTGCTTAATGTATTATCAGGTTATGAGATTGCTCATTGAACCTGACTCTGGAATAAAATGGGAACTCATGCAGTTCTGGGTAGAGGCAGCAGAAACAAATGGAGAACCTCTTCAAGGTAATACTGTTTGGGTGAATCAATTCCAACCATTTTCGTCCTTCTGCCACCTCTCTTAGGGTTCAAATTCAAAGGCTAGGGTCCAACTGGCCTAGCTAGTTTAAGGAACCTGCCCACAGTCCTAGTCAGGGGATGATGGAGCATCCTGATACATGGTCCTAAAAAGATGCATGCCATGGGAAAGGGGTTACTCCATAAAGGATGACCAAAACACTATTACCCAAAACTGGGGGCATAGATGCTTGTCAGACATACACACACACACACACACACACACACACACAAAATGTCTGGATGTCCCTGTACCACCTCAAGAGCTTTCAAGGATGTTTAGAGTTTACTGAGATAAAGCATTTCCAAGAGCCTAAGAAGAATACTCTAAAATCAGATTCTAGGTCTTTTATTGAAAACTAAAGCATTATTTTGTGAAATGAGTTAACTAGAACTTTCATGTAGCCCCAATTCTCTCCATTGATGGTGGCAAATAGATCCTTTATAATACAACCAGTCATAGCATCAAAACCTAGCTTTGGACTCAGAGTGGAATACTGCTCACATTGTAGAATTTTGAAGTTACAAAAACAGAATGCATATATAACAGCTACCAGAAACCATACCTACTTACATCAGACAAACAATACCAAATCACATACATCATCTCATTTAATCCTCACAACTTTTATGGTAGATTGAAAAATATGAGCACAATATTTCTTATCATCTTCCATCAAGAAGTAGAGACTATCAGGTGCCCGGGTGGCTCAGTTGGTTAAGCATCTGCCTTCGGCTCAGGTCTTGATCCCAGCGTCCTGGGATCGAGCCCGGAGCGGGGCGCCAGTGCTCAGCGGGGAGTCTGTGTCTCCCTCCCCCTGCTCTAGTGTTCTCGCTCGTTCTCCCTCTCTCTCTCTCTCAAATAAATAAAATCTTTAAAAAAAAGAAGAAGAAGGAGAAGGAGAAGAAGTGAAGACTATTTCCCAACTATTTCCCTTTGAATCTGATTTGGTCTTGAGGCTTCCCTTAACCAATAGAAATATGGTGGAAGTGACGTTGTATGACTTCCAAGGCTAGGCGTTAAGAGACCTCACAGCTTCCTCTTTTGCCTTGAGATGTGAGGGTAAACATTGGCCTCAAGATGTTAGGGCTCTAAGATAGCCATGCCTTGAAAAAGTCCAAGATGAAAAACTATGTCTCAACTAAGCTGAGACCCTCACCAAGCTGCCAGCTAAATGCAGCTACAAGCATGAGCTCAGTAGATCAGCATAATTGCCCAGTGAACTCACAGAATAAAGATATCATTGTAGTTTTAAGCCTCTTAATTATTAGGGTAGTCTATTATACAGGAATAGATAACTAATACAAACTTAGGAGGGAAAATATTTCTGTCTCAATTTTAATAGATAAATAAACTCACATTCAGAAAAGTCAAGAAACTCACTCACATTCATAAAACTGGTACTAGAGGCAGGGCGAGGTTCAGAACCATGCCTTTGACAACAAGTCAAGGGTACTCTTCCTTTCATCACCACTACTTCGTCCACCTGCCATAAAAATGCCAGTCAAGATCTAGGGTTGATGTAGATGGTAGCCACTCCCAGTATCCATAACACATGGTATTATTATGGATAATTCATTCCTTGAGCTTCATCGCAGTCTGAATGCACACTGCATCCTATGTGAGAGCTCCATTCACTGCATGCTACAGTCACTAAGCTCTCCCCAAGAAATGAAAGGATCCTAACAGCTGCTCTAGTCAACTTTCCTGCCTCTCGGCTTCAGTTTCTAGTTCCTACTCACATAGAACAATTCCTTGTATATAGCAGGTGTTCAATGAAGAGTTGTTGAATGCACAGATGAATATGTGAGCTTCCTTTCAAGATGGTTATACGATGGCAACTTAAAAACCTCACCCATTCTTCCTTATCACTCTGTGTGTTGAAGAAAGCCTTAAGGCTCCCAGCTACTGATGGAGCCCTGCCACATCACATTGCCTGGTTGTGCTTTAGACGTTCCATCTTGGGAGGTAATAGGAGTGAATGGGTCTTGGCTTTGAAAAAGAACGGAAGGTCGAGTTAAGTTGCCTGCTTGCTAGCAGAGTACTTCTATATATGTCCCATTTATTATTGTTTTTGTTGCTGTTGTTTAGTTCATGTATTCATTTAACCAACTTCAGTTGAAAGTCAGGCACGATATGCTAGCTGTGGTCAGAAGCTGAGGATTGGACTGTGAAGGAGCTGCCATATCTGCCTGTGAGAATCACAAGGTCTAGGGCATTGGAAGAGACCCCTTTAGTGACAACTACCGTTTCTCAAGCCTGGGTTATGCGAGCACTGTGTTCAGTGGGAAGTTGGTAATGGTCTTCCCATTTTACAGTTTTAGAGAGTTTGAGTTTAAGGAAGGGCAGTTTAAGTTGACATAAATAGATATTCCTTTTAAGGAAAATTTGTACATGTTTCTGTCTGTATTTATACTCGGGCTCCTAAAAATTCCTGCTTCAATGTAAAATTCTAGCTTTGTGAGGGGGGAAAGTGAAAAAGAAAAAAAAAAAAAACTTTAAAATGTATGCATGCTATTCAACATGGAGGCGGAGGTCGATAAGCTGGAACTGATGTTCCAGAAAGCTGACTCTGATCTGGATTACATTCAATACAGGCTGGAATATGAAATCAAGACTAATCATCCTGATACAGCAGGCAAGCTGTCACCACCAAGTAAAGAAGAGAAAACTGCGGCAGAGCAATTAAAATCTTTCATCTTTTATGAAGAAATGGACTTGCAAAAGGGAATTCTACTGGAGAAGAGATCTATCCCAGAAAGATTTAGGAAGATGTCTTGTTAGCACTTGATGACTAGAGGTGGGGGTGATGGAGAAGAAGAAGATTTGGCTGGAGTGACTGGATAATGATGCCTTTCACAAGAGAGGGAACTATAAAAAGGGCAGATATTATAGGAATAAAGTTTAGTGAAAAGGATGGAATGGGAATAAAGAGATTTAAAAATATATATACACACACACTTAGTCTTATAATTTCGAGCAAGGAAGTCACATAACTCTATTTTGCATCTGTTTTTGTATAATTGGGATAATATGGATGTCCTTGCCTATCATGAAAGGATATATATACTATCAGTCAGATGTGAATGAGCATGCTTTGGAAATTAAAGGATAGAAAAAATATTTGTATTACATTATATATATGTATATAATTTTACTTTTGAAAATTCTGATTATAGATAATGGTCACATTATTAATGAGACTACTAATATGTGATCTATAGTCCTCCACAAAAGCTAACTTTAGTAATAATAAATTGGCTTTTCTGTGAAAAAAAATAAAAAATAAAATGTATGCATGCTAGAGAAGGAATGTGATTTTTTTCATTTTAATTATTTTCAGAGGTTTTATTGTAGAAATATTTGAGGTATTTCAAGAAAATGGCATTTTTTGTAAGTATTTTCCCATAATCCCACCACCTTCACACAATTGTTTTTATTTTTTTTTTTTGCTTCCCTCTCTAGTCTGTGTCCATATGGTGCAGTTTACACAGTCTAACCAAGGTGTGTGCGTGTGTATAGTTTTGGGTTCTGCCAAAGAGGGAAGAGAACTTGTTCAGCACTGCAGTGTTTAAGCTTCACATTTTGCAGATGGGGTTCCTGGGTGAGGTTTGCCTAGCTGTACTTCTGGCAGAAAGCATGCACAACTGTTAAATTATGTTATTGAAATAACTTTCATTACCTCAATCCCCCAAAGCAAACAGTTCCTCCCCACCCAAAACAAAAGTTCTGCTTCCCACACTTCATTTCATCTGTGTTTGCCATGAGTTCTGTGACCCACCCTGGTATTCCCTGTCATTTTTTTTTTTTTCTACTAGACATAACAGATACCAGCTCAACAGCAGAGGGGAATAGAGAAAAGGCCTGGACAACAAGAAAGGACATAACATTGTAGCTGTCACAAATTAAAAACACCTTCTCTCTTAGCTCCATTCAACAGCATTTGCCAAACACCAGCTCTGTGCTCCACACTATGGTAGACCCTGCAGAAGCCACCATAGAGTGTCAGCACTGGGTCCTCCCAGAAAGTTTACACCCTCTCTCAGGAGGGAGACATCAAGTGCCTATAGCAGAGATCAGCAAATTTTCCATAAAATGACAGTCACTAAATATTTTAGGCTTTGTGGGCAGAGGCAAAAGAAAGCAAATTTCCACAAAATTTACTGACAAAAATTAATATTTATGGGCACCAAATTTAAATATCACATAATATTCACATGAAACAAAATACTAGTCTTCTCTTGAGTTTTTCAACAATTTAAAAGTGCAATAACAATTCTTAGCCCGCGGGCCGTATAAAAACAGGCTGTGGGATGAGATGAGGCCCCTGGGCTGTGGTTTGCCAACCCCTGATGGAGAAGACGGAAGCAAGCACAGAAAATGCCTGGGGATTAGCCTGCAAAATGGGCGGCACCAAGACAGAAGTCCAGGGAGGAGAGAGGTGGGGTGGGGTGGGGTGGGCTTGTCCAGTCAGGAAGACTTAATGGAAGAGATGGGATTTGAGCAGTGCCTTGAAGGGAGGGTAGGATTTGGCTGCCTGAAACAGTCTGGGAGAACATTCCAGCGGAACCGATGAGCATGAGGCAAAGGCAGAAAGGGAGGAAAGATCATGGGCCAAAGGAGACTATGAGGTGTTTCCCCATCCTTCACTGTGACATACCTCTAGCTCCCCAAGGCTTCTGTGACACGCCCTGGGCCCAGTGCTGATGGAGGGGAGGGGTCCTGAGGGCTTGTGGGAGGAGGCCTTTAAATGATCATGATTAATCATGTTATATGAATATTTACAGTACTCATCACCCAAGCTTGTTGGAAACACTGAGATTGGATCAGTAGTTTAAAACTGATAGAGGACAAATTAGACTTTATTTTTCTTCATCAGGAGACTGTTCAGGTTTCAGTTAGTCACCTATTTTAAGGAATTTCTGTGGACAACTAGCTTTTCTCAGGATCTTAATAATATTCTAATCATACCAGGAAATGCCACATGCCCTAACCCAAATTTTCATGGCCAATCTCAAGGTTTGAATCAAGTTAGGAATGACAGGTAGCTTTGCTTAGTGACATTTATTTTTTTCCTACAGGTTTTTGTTTTTACTTTCAATCTAAATTTTCTCTAAGAAGTTAGTAATTAGTGGATACTAGTAAATACTGGATACCTTAAGAATAAATGTTCTTCCTGGCTGACTTTATCTATTCCCATGATTTCACCTCCTTCTCATAAAATGCTATTAACTCCCAGATCTGTATCTCCAGCCCAAATATCTCCCTAGAGCTTCAAATTTAGCTGCCCAAGTTCCTGCTGGCTGTCTCCACCTCATCCTCCCACAGGCTGGGCAGCAGCCTCCAAGATCATCCCCAAAGATCTCCACCTCTTGGTACTCATGCCCTTGGGTAATCTCCTCCCCTTGAGTGTGGGCTGGACCTAGTGACTCACTTCTAGCAGCTAGAGGGTGGCAGAGGTGTTGAGATGTCACTTGTGATATTAAGTTACAGAAAGACTTGGATTTCATCTTGCTTGCCCTTTCTTGCTCTCCTGCTGGCTCATGTTGCTGGAAGCCAGCTGCTGTGTTCTGAGCTGCCCTATAGAGAGGCTCTGTGGCAAGGAACCAAGAGAGCCCAATAGCCAGTGAAAACCCAAGGCCCTTGTACAACAGTCCTGGATGAACCCACTTCTGCTAACAACCACGGGTGAGCCTGGAAGCCTTCCACTGAGACCACAACCCCAGCCAACAACTTGATTGCAGCTGCAAGAGACCTGGAGCCCAAGGCACACAGCTGAGCAGTGCGCACAGAGACCCACAGAAACTGAGATAATAAATGTGTGGTGTTTGCAGCCACTAAATTTTGAGCTAATTCATTCCACAGAAATAGATAACTGATATAACAGCGAACTCCCTAAACCCGTTCCTTCCCCTAAATTCTCTGTTTCTGTTGCCAGGACTGCCATATATCCACTCACCTATGCTAGACATCCTTCATTTGTGTTTCTTACATCTACAAAAGCTCAGATGCTTTTGTATTTTTCAATCACAATTGACATGACTTAGCTGGAAATTTGCCTCCTATGAGTTCCATCTGGAAATCAAGCCATTTGTGCTACGTAACATGCTGCAGCAGAAAATGTCTCTATTTCTACATGATTTTCTGCTAGCAACAATATTAGTGACATCATGTTAGATAACTTTCCACAGATAATCAACCCCTGGGAAGTGTCCAGAGTGATAGAATGGGAGAAAGGAGATCCTGGGAAACTAGAAAATGATGCCTGTAGCTTGAACGTCAATCGCAGAAATAGGGATGGGACAAGCATGGGATTAGAAGACAAATGTGGGTCCTGGTCTGGGCTTCACTCCTAATCTGCTGTGTTCTTGGCAATTCGCTTTACTTCTGGAAGCCTCAGTTTCCTCTTCAAGAAGACGAGGGGGTTAAATTTCAGTGGAATGCAGAGCCCTGGGTGGGTTGCTTCAAGATGAATTAAGGAGCTTGTCAAACTTCAGATTCCTGTCCCGAATACTCACACCATGCTGATTCAGTAGGTCTGAGATGTGGCCTAGAAATCTGTATTTCTAAAGTGACCAGCTCTCCGAAGTATATCCAGGTATAGAAATCCTTAACTTTACCCTCTCAAAGGAAATTTACAATTCTAGTGCTATAATTGCCAAGCAGTTTCTATTTTATGCCAATTGTACTTTGCGTGTACTTTATAAAACATACAAAAGATTAAAAATTTATAGGATGATTTTGTGTGTGTGCATATATGTGTTAAGGGGTTCTATGCACAATTTCCAAGGTGTGTGGGGGTGGGGGTTTCCCCACAACACCAAGGAGCAGTTCTTGGACACCAGCTAGGTGTCCCATAATTCAACTCACTTCCGACACTATCTACCAGAGATAGCATCATATTCCACGGGCTAAGGAATCAGTCTCCTGAGGTTGCCCTCCACTTGAGATGCCAATCACACACCCGCTTGGTTATCTGTGCTTCTGGCCAACTGACTACAGGCTGGAGATTCCAACAACCCCCTCCTTGGGTTACAGGTTAAGGGCTCACTCCTACAAGACTGCCCCCTCCCCTTTAGGTGTCAATCGCAAGTCCAAGTTGGCTCCTGTACTTCTGACCTAACAGCTATAAATCAGACGTTCCCATCACCCTTCTTGGGTCTAATTAATCTGCTAGAGTAGCTCACAACTCAGAGAAACATTCTACTTACTAGATGACAGGTTTATTATCAAAACAGATAACTTGGGAACAGCCAGATGGAAGAGATGCAGGGGACAGGGGGTGGAGCTTCTATGCTATTTCGGGGTGCACCACTCTCCCTAAATCCAAACATGTTCACCAATCTGGAAGCTCTCCAAATTCTCTCCGTTTTTTTTTGTTTTGTTTTGTTTTTATGGAAGCTTCGTTACATAGGCATGATTGATTAATTCATTGGCCATTAGTGATTGATTCAACCTCCAGCCCATTTCTTCTCCCTCAGGAATCAGGGGTTGGGACTAATATTTCTACCCCTCTATTCATGGTTGATTCTGCTGGCAACCAGCCCCCATCCTTAGGTGATTTCCAAAAGTCATCTCATTAACATAAACCCAATTGTGGTGGAAAGGGACCTGTTATGAACAATAAAACACCCATTTACCTTTTTGTCTCTGAAGCTTTAAATATTATAAAAAAA